AGTTAACATATGAAAGTAAGTTGGAGTAATGGCCGATAAAGAGATTTGTTTGATTTAAACTATGTCTGTGCTGAAGTAAAACGGCTTGTAAGTTACCAGTGATTTTATTACATTCTAAGCAATCAAAACTTCTTATCTATTAAACTGAATTCCAGTAATACCATTGCAATCTTAAAAGTCGAGTGCATCTTGGTAAATTGTATGTCAAAAACACAGAACGTCGTTGTTTTAAACTCATGGATATATCGTTTTACAATGGACCATACGATACACAAAAGAAGGCCAGCATACACAGCATGGCTCTCCATCCAGCTAACATGCTCCCATGAGTCATCGTCACATAGAGTTGGTCATCAGTCAAAATTGTTATGCCCCTATTTTATTGCACTTTTCATAGACTTCTGCCCAGCAATAGCTAGCGCAATTGAGATTTCATTTAGCTTTACAGCTCACTTCGTGGTTGCGATATGCTTAGAGAGCTTGGAGAAGACGCGCTAATTTTGGCTATTTAAATATGGTCACTGTTTAGGTATAATAAGGCATCAGGTGCATACCATTATGGATATCGTGGATATGACTGCGGTGCAAAGGATTGCAAAGTAGTCCAGATTAATCTCTTTCTTAAAATTAGAAGCACATAATGCCATGAGCGGTTATTGCCTTTCATTTATAACCAAAAATTTGCAATATCAACGCTTTAGTTCTTCAAGTCTATATGTAACATTTTTAAAACTCGCTCTACTTAAGATACCATATATAGTAATGCAAATGGCAATCGTCGCCAATAACTTTACTAATGCAGGGTCTTTCTTTGTCTGTTTGCTTGATGAGCCGACATTACTATTACATTAGTAGCTACATCTTTGTTCGAACTGCCAGGTCAGTCTCTACCACTTCTTCAAGGAATAGTATGATTCAGATAATATCTTTCCCAACCTTGGTATCTCCTTTGAAGTATTTCATTTTCACAACCAAATGTTATACTTAAAGGTTCGAAAAGTTAATTTTACCTTTGAAGTTCATTCATCATCATATTCAAA